AATATTAATAATAATAATAACTAAGATAATAATATAGTATCGAATCGACTTCTAAGGACAATACACATGACTGAATGATAAATAAGCAGGACACGGGAAGGGGGAAGGGAACAGTGCTCAGAAATATCCCCGAGACTCATTCAAGAGGGGGAAACAGTCTCACAAAGTAGCCAACAACACAGTCCTTGATTGAGAGCCCCTTTCTGCCTCGTGTTCATTCAACAAGAACCGAGCACTCAACCAAGAAGACCGAATAAGAGTTTGATCTATCAAAAGTGCAAAATCAAATGCGAACTCTCATTAGCCCTATTTGCTTCAGCAATAAATTGTGGCATCAGAACTTAACGGGGTTATCTCTTATAAATCGTACCGGCACGTGGACTTGTATTGTTCTAAAGTTCACTAAATGCTCCTTTTACAGAGAAGATTTCTGGTATTTGCAAGAATTAGGAGAAGTGTTTATCAAGCGCTTCCCAAGGCTGGTTCTGACGTCCTGACCTTTCATTACGTTAATAGTACTTTAATGACAAGGAATTGTCAATAATCCACGCTGAGAGCAATGACCTGCGGCTCTCCGGACTGGACTCTCCATTTGGTCAGGGCTTTGACGTAAATAAAATCTCCGCATCGTGAGGACGATCACGAGACAGGATTGCTTTGAGAATTCCAGACGCCTCTCGGGAGACAAGGAGTGACAGCGAATTAAATACCCCAGGCACTCTTCAAAACTAGAGTCAGATTTAATTTCTTGGCCGTCGACGTTGACTGACTGCCCGTCTTCTTTTTAGCTCCACAATGACAACTATCCTCTCGCGTTACCTTTATACTTGCTGTATTGCGGTTTGGGTTATTTGAAGTGCCAGTTGGCTCTCTAGACAAGAAAGGCTCAAAAGAGGAACAATAAAACGAGTGTGGAACAGCTTTCATTAAGAAATGACCACCCCTCTTCACCCAAGTAGCAATAGATCTATGGTACGAAAGGTAGATGATTCTTTGACAAGCAAAGAAAAATTAAATCTTTCTTAATACATCATCAGTTTCTAACTTTGAAAGAATTGATAAAGTATACGAAAAATATCAACTGTATATTTTTTATTCGTGAAATTATAGAATTTACAGAATTTGTTCAGCAGATGTCCATGTTTGGCAGCGGGAAACATTGGGGAAAATCCCCTCGCCATTCCCTCAGAATCAATTGCAAGAATTAAGGCATGCATGTATTCTGACCAAATACTTTCCAAATTTGAGATTTTGAACGCAATGACAAATGGATAGTCCCATTACAACCCATAACCAATTTCCATGCAGTCCATTCCCGAGCTGTTTTCGCCTTCCCCAATAGGGCGGGAGCGGGAATTTGGGGGTTGGGGGTGGGGAAGTTCGGCTCAGATTAACAGTAGTAGGATCTCTTTTCCTGATAAACGTGTATTTCTATTTCGAGGTCATCAATTTTGCTAGCGACTGTAAACGTTTTTCAGGTACAAATGTTTTCTTGCACATTCTAACAGTTGTTTAGAAAGCATTTATAAAGTTTGAAGAAAGTAGGACAGATTTCTTTTTTGGTAAATGCTGTAAGCCATTACTTTATGCATGGCGATTCTTTGCTGTTTGAGTATTGGAGTGTCTAATAGTACAAATAGATGTCGTAGTAGTTTCAAAGTTATATATTAAGCAGTTACATTAGTATTAACGTGCTGCAAAAATGCTTAAGCATAAAAAGTTATGTATAATGCACTTTTTTCTTCGAATGTTTAACTCCAAGATAGAGGGCGCTTTTGAGAGGTTTTCTTCTTCTTTCATACCAACCATCTTTCGCCATTATCTTTCCTCCTTCTTTTCTTTGTTTGTTACTCTCTAGTAACACCTCTAATCTTCGGCACATAATGACCTTATTCTGTTGCAAGTGCCTTACAACTCTTACTGAAACTTTAAAACGTCCAGATTTTGGACCTGAACGACAAGGATGAAGTGATGAACGGCCCCACACCACTCCTGCGCACGCGTCGTCTGATTGGCCTTCTTATGCAGAGAGGTGAAGCAGCGTTTGGGGAGTTCCTGCAGTGTCTGGACGACAACGGATATGACCACGTCGCTTTCCGTATCAGAAACACGTCGGGAACAAGCACAGACACAAGCACTGCCAGCAACACCAACACTACTGCTAGTGCCACCAATAATTCTGCATTAGACAGAGGCGTTAAGAATAGCGCTTTGCCAAGAAGCCGTTCGTCAGCAAGTGTTTCATCAAACGCAGAAAACACAAACAGTAACAGTAACGACGATATCAGCTCCAAGGCACTGGGCCGCGATCCGCTTGTTACCAACATAGCTGTGGGCGCATCCGCTCCTACTGAGATGGAGTTCAGATCCCGGCGCTTAATGCACACGTCTACAGGATTCGTAACAGTTGAAGAGTCAAGGAGAATACTGGAGGTGGGTGGAAAATCTTCCTGTCACAGTCTTCCGGATCTTGTTCGGAGCACAACTGTCCCCGACAACGTGTTTCTGACCTCCTCTCTGGACGGGAGAGACCTCCCCAGGACTGGGTTTGTTGCTGACCCTCTCAATAAAGCTTTCCAGACCACAGTAGTCGAGGAAGAGCCGGAACGGCAGCCGATTACTAGTAACCGGAGGAGAGACACAAGAGCCAGCATGGCGTCACGAGATGGTGATGATGACTCGGCATCGGTCCAACGCAGTAATCGTAGTAGTTTGACGGAAGAAGACAGGCGAGGCAAATCTCTGGACGATCGTCTAAAGAAGATCGAAGAATCCTGGTTTATTCTGAGTCGTCGTGTCACCCGAGTGGAAGATAGGTGAGAACAGCTGATATTTCTGCTCTTTGTAATTAAAAAAAAAACTTTCCTTGCTGTCGACTGGCAGTAGAAATTGTTGCAGCTTTGTTGTTTTTGTTGTCGTTGTATTTTTGCTTTAGTTGCTCTCATAGTTACTGGTGCTTTCGGTATTTTTTTTCTAAATTGTTTTAATTCTTCCTGTTGCTGTTGTTGTTGCTATTGTTGTCGACCAAGGTATCGTCCCTGAGGTTGTGCTCCCTAGCCCCACCCTTTCCGTATTGGCAATTAACTTGTAAGCAATAAGAAACTTGAATATTCTAAAACTTTCCCAACATTATTTTTACACTATCATGATGCCACTTTATCCCGCAGGAATATACATTCTTTGTTTGAAACGAATTTGAATTTGGGAGTTTTCTTGTATAAAAATTATTGATAATATTTAGACTTAAGATTTAATTGGATCAAGTAATCTAGCTTGTTACACCTGTATCAAACCTATAGAGAATTAAATCGTCTTTCTCTGTTACGGAATGTTCAAAGCACACAGACAGCTAATAAACATCGTACAGAACCATGGCACAGAACAGTCTAGCTTAAATCATGAACGGAGCTTTCTTGACTTGGATTTTTTGGGGTTGTTTTATTTTTTTCTAAGGATTCTTCATCTATTTGATTGGGCTCTATGGGAGAGGGATGCCAATTTAAAGATCTCTTTTCTCGCACGACCATGAAAGATTAAATAACCCCTGGGGCGGTGCTACTGGCTGAAGTGTCTTTAGGCCATTCCCAAGGGGGGGGG